ATGGAGGAGTAGTGACAAGGAGGGTGCTGATCAAGAACTACCAATTGGGGTGGTAGATAGCCATGGGGGCAGTGAAGAGCATGCAAAGGAATAACAATGTATTACTCAGCATGTGTCTGTTAGGGAGGGGCATTGTGCAGCAGGTTAAGCCTCTACTTGAGACATCCACATCCCACATTATGTAATGCCAGGGATGGAGTCCTCCACTCCTCTGCTTTCAGTCCAGCTTCCTGTTAATATGTCTCGGAACGTAGCAGATGAAGACCCAAATACTTGGATTCCTGCATTTACATAGGAGACACAGATGGAGTTACTGGTGCCTGCATCAGCTCTGGCTGTTGCAGGCATTTGCAGATAAAACAGTAGATGGAAGATAATTTCTCTCTCCCTCTCTCCCTCTCTCTCTCTCCCTCCCTCTCCCTCTCTCCCCCTCTCTCTGCACTCTCTCCCTCTCTCTCTCCTCTCTCTCTCTCTCTCCCCCTCTCTCTCCCTCTCTCCCCCCTCTCTCTCCCTCTCTCCCCCTCTCCCTCCCTCCCCCCTCTCTCCCTCTCTCCCTTTCTCTCTCTTTCTCTCTCCCCCTCTCTCCCCCTCTCCCACACTCCCTCTCTCTCCCTCCCTCCCTCCCCCTCTCCCTCCCCCCCTCTCTCCTTCCCTCCCTCCCCCTCTCTCTCCCTCCCCCTCTCTCCCTCTCCCCCCTCCCTCTCTCCCTCTCTCCCTCTCTCTTCCTCCTCCCTCCTCTTTCCCTCCCACTTCATCATGTTGCCTTCCTAGATAAATAAGTCTTAAAAATATAGAGAGACGAAGACTTTTTTAATTGTCTATTTAGTACCTTAGTACTATTCTCTACTTGGTACACATTAGTGAACAGAATGAACATAAATTCCTGGACTCATAGAGTTTATATTTGAGTGGGGAGAGAGAAACACTGAACATTAAATAAGTAATATGTTAGAATGTAGTAAATGCTCATGGGAAAAGAGTACCTCAAGCCAGGTGATCAAGGCTAACAGGAAGTCAGGTTGATAGTGTGTATCCTTGATGTGGTATGATGAGAAGCCCACTTCACCTCTGTGGACTTCCTATCAAAAACATGGCCTGGCCTAATCATAAGAAAAACATCAAACTAATTCCAAATGAGGAACATTCTTAAAATACCTGTTCAGTATTCCCTAAAACTGTCTGGGTCATCAAAAACAGTCTTACATGCTATCATAGTCAAGAGACACAGCAACTAAATGTCATGGAATCCTATATAGGATCCTGGAATAGCAAAAGGACGTTAGAGAAAAAATTGAGAAAATCCAAATGAAATATAGACTTGTAAAAAAATGTCTTTATATTGGCTCATTTATTGTGACAAATATACCATAGTAATGTAAGATGTTGCATAGAGAAAGCTGGGTGTGGGTATACAGGAACTCTGTGTTCTGGCTTTGTAATAATTCTGTAGACCGGGATCCAGTGCTGTGGTGTAGTGGGTAAAGCTCCCGCCTGCATGTGGGAGCTGGTTTGAGTCCCAGCTGCTCCACTTCAGATCCAGTTCTCTGCTATGGCCTGGAAAAGCAGTAGATAGCCCAAGTCTTTGGGCCCCTGTACCCGTGTGGGAGACCTGGAAGAAGCTTCTGGCTCTTGGCTCCTGACTTTGGATTGGCCTAGCTCCAGCTATTGTGGTCATTTGGGGAGTGAACCAGTAGATGGAAGACTTCTTTCTTTCTCTCCCTCTCCTTCTCCCTCTCCTTCTCTTTCTCCTCTCCCTCTCCCTCTGCCTCTGCCTCTGCCTCTGCCTCTGCCTCTCTGTAACTTTGCCTTTCCAATAAATAAATGCATTTTTTATTTATCTTTTTTATTTAAATAAATCTTTTTATTTATCTCTTGGTGCCAATCCAAAGCCAGGATCAGGAGCTTCTTCCAGGTCTCCCATGCGGGTTCAGGGGCCCAAAGACTTGGGCCATCTTCTGCTTTCCCAGGCAATAGCAAAGAGCTGGATCTGAAGTGGAGCAGCTGGGACTCGAACCGGTGCCCATATGGGATGCCGGCACTGCAGACTGGGGCTTTAATCCACTGTGCCACAGTGCCATTCCCAATAAATAAATCTTTAAAAAAATAATTCTGTAGACCTAAAACTGTTCTAAAATGAAAAGTTCATTTTCTAAAAACAGACAAAGTAAGAGAGGTCAAGAGTCCAGGGCAAGGATGTGTGTTATACTTTTATTTTTACCTGACAAAATTTAAGCTTTATTGTTGTGTATTCTCTAAGTCAGTTCAAGCTCTTCTCCTTATTTTATGAGCAGGTGGTGTTAGTGCTGGGCTGTGGTCAGGTATGGCCTTTTCAAATTACAGAACAGTAACAGCAGTTCAAAGGTAGACAAATTTTGCCTCCTGTCAACTAGACACCCAATAGGTTATAAAATAAATGTAATTTAGCTCCAGTTTGAAAACATGGCACTAAAAACTTTAAGCTTCACGTGGCATTGCATGATGTTCTGTAAGGCATTTCCATGTTATAAAACATCATTCTGTCACCCTAGTATGTAATGATTTTTAATAGGGTAATCAGAGTAGGCCTCATTGAGCAGGGGGCTTGAATAGTCACTTAGGAAATGTTGGTCAAGTTGGTATCTGGAGGAGCAGCCATAGCAAAGGCCCTGGGGTGAGAGCATGTCTGCATGTTTGAGAATAGCATAAAAGTGTCCGTGGGACCTTTCAATCTCTCAAAGCCTTAGTATCCTCTTCCATGAAGAGTGGATTTGAGTGCTCGCTTTGGCAGCACATATACTAAGAGTGGATTTGAAAGTTTGATCTCAAAGGAGAGGTCATGTCCTTGTCTGGTCGCCTATGGTTTTAGACCATGTGGGACAGAAGTGTTCTGCAAGCCAGCAAGTGCTGGCCCTAAGTGGTCATTTTCTTGTAACCAACCTGAGAGTACCTAAGCAGGGAGTACAAAAAGTGTAGTCACACATATTCTGATAAGTCAAAGCAGGAAGGAAGGAAGGGTCATTTTGGAGGTATTTATTTTCTCTCTGTATAGCATGGTTGGAGACTGAATTTGAAACACTGGGTATGAAAAGGGATATTTGTGTGGTCATAGGTGCATAACTCAATGCTCTGCACCTTGGTGCCTCTACAAAATAAGAAATGTATACTTTATGTTGATTTGATCTTGTAGTAAAGAAAGAATTAAAAGTTTTGTTATACATTTCTCTTCCTCAGTCTCTGGTATACCAGACAAAATTGAAAGAAATTCCTAAATTCCTGTTTCAAACTTACAGAAGTACTAAAACCCTGTTACATAGTTCAGGAGACTGAAGGTTTAACTTTAGATTCGGGAAAAAAAATATTGTGCAGCTAGAAAAATTGTGAAGTGCTATCATAATAAATGTCAAAATATACAAAAATTGGATAACTTCTAGTAGTTCTCATTTCACAAGAGAACACAGTTTGATCGCCGAGTTCTTGTGAACTGTAGTACTCCTTGATCTAAAATCAAGGTCTTTGTATACTTGTCCAAATGACGCATACTAGACATACACTGTAAGTTGGTGCTGTTGATATAAATATAATGGTTTGATGACCTAAAATTAATTTAACTAACCATAAAAATTATATAGACTTTTTAAAAAATAATATTCATTTATTTGTTTGAAAGTCAGAGTTACAGATAGAGAAGGAGAGACAGAGAGAGAGAAATCTTCCATTTGCTGGTTCATTCCCCAAATGCCTGCAATGGCTGGGGTTGGGCCAGGCAGAAGTCAGGAGCTGTGAGCTTCTAGGTCTCCCACGTGGGTACCTAAGGACTTGGGTCATCCTCCACTGCTTTCCCAGATGCATTGGCAGGAAACTGGATCAGCAATGGAGCAGCTGGGACTTGAGCTGCTGCCAATAGGGGATGCCAGCACTGCAGGCAGTGGCTTAATCTGCTACGCTACAACGCTGGCTGCAGTCTATTTGTCTTTGCAGCAACATATAATGATGTTACAAATTGCCTAGTTTTACCTACTTGTAAGCAGTATGGAGGGTGGAAAAAGCCGTTGTCTAGTTTTTTTTTTTTTTTTTTTGCTAAAGATACAAAATAATAAGTGACCATCAGGCATTGGAAATGTGGTCAATGTGACTAAGGAACTTTGATTTTAGTAAATTTAAGTTTAAATAGCTGTGTGTGGCTAGTATCTCTTGTATTGGAGAGCATCACTGTCAAGATCTGAGATAATTTTGCCTGACCTTGGAGAGCTAGCATTCCCCAGAGGGTGAGCTGATACTCATGTGGGATTCTTTGTGCCCAGGTAGAACTGTAAGCTTTGGGACTTGCAGTCTAGAGAGAGAAGAGGATGTTCTAGCCTGCTACTCAGGCCATAATTCCACCTTTGGCTCTTAGCCACCCCACCCTTCAGGCTGGACCTATACTCTGAGGCCTATCCTGGAAGACTTAGGGAGTTAGGAGCCTCAAAGTTTCTTCCAAGAAGATTGGAGGAATTTTAAAATCCAGAGTTATCATTAGGCATTATCAAACCAAGGAAGCACAGGACCAATAGCACTGGTATTTTGAATAAAAGGAGCCTCCTTCTGGACTTGTACCATTTCACCCTGCAAATCATGAGCGCTTTCAAGCTTTGTCAAAAAACTCAAGCATTTATGACTTTTAGATTGACTGTGATATTGGCCCGGTCACAGAATTCCTGGTCTCTTTCACTTACTATTTTAGGTCAGCATGTCAGGGATTTGCCAGGGCAGCCTTTTTTACGAATGCTCTCAAAGGCTCCTCTGTGTGAGTAAAAGCTGTTGACCTTATTTCCATGTGCCAAGTTCTCCACCCTGCTCTGTGTAAGTCTTAATACAAAGCGAGGAGTGATGTGTACCCCTGATGCTGGAACTTCTGTATGGGTGTTCACCTTTGCACATGACTGCCATAGAAGAGGGGTAGATGTGAAAATGGGTGGGCAGATTTGTATACTGTAGAATACAGTGAACCATGTGCCAATGTTGTCCTGTTTATTTTCTTCCAGGAAATCAAGGATTGGCGTGGCATTGCTTTGACAAGCACTTCCTGTTGACTTCATAGAGATTTCACTGAAGAATAATCTCAAAGGAATATTTGTCTCCCCATACCCCTGGTAGCTAGCAAATGTTTTTAACCACCTGGAAAACATCAGTGACCTTTGGGCTTGGCCTGCTCCAGGCAACTGAATGAAGGTTTCTTCCAGTTGTTTCTATAGCTATATGGCAGAAGCATCTCTTTGCTAGGTGAACGTTCCTGAAGCCCTTTCCTGAAGCAGCTTAAGGGGCTTAAACCTTTTGGAGCCGATGACATGGAAGCTTTGGAAGTGGATGATATCAGCCCAGCCTTAGAAGTTACTGAGGATTTCTTTAGTACTTTTGATAGTAAGCTAGAAAAGGCAGTGCAGCAAGCAGAGGTCTATGGGGTTCAGGAGGTTCCTGAGTTGGTGGGGCACGAGGTACTCAGTAACATAACAGACAATGGTGCTATGAGAAACACTGTCTCCTTGGGCAAGGGGAGCATGATTTGGGACCACTGTAAGAGCAGGCTCTTGGAAACCAAAGCTCAAAATGTCTTCCCTGCCAAAGAACAGTTTGTGGTCCAGAGAGGGACAACCCCTGACAATCTTTCCTGGATAGAACAAAAGGAAGCATCAACCTTCAATTTTTTCAATGTCTGTCAGCGTCGCAGGGACAGACCGCGTTCTGTGAATGACTTATTGGATGAGACCTCAGCCTTCAAGCCAGGCCATGCTCGTTCAAGGTCTGACATTACCCAAGTGGACTGGAGGGCGGTCCTTAAAACCATGCCTTTGCAGCAGCAGCCACCTCAGCAGCCGCCTCTTCAAGGCAGTCATCTCACCAGACCCTCTTTTCTGTTGCCCTCACCAAATACATTAGAAGATGCTCAAGGAAACACTGGTAAGTTTTATATCTGCCTTCTTCTGAACAGTTGTTGGTTTTTCATTTGTCTCTCATGGATGAGCTCATGAGAATCTTTTTCCTCTAGTATCTATGTCTGGCTTTGCATATTTAAGCTTCTCTTTCCTTCCTTTTTCTTTTTTTCTTTATATAGATAGATATAGATAGATTTTTTTAATCTTCGTTTTTATTTGAAAGACAGAGAAACAGAGAGAAACAGAAACACACAGACAGAAAGAGGTGTCCCATCTACTGTTTCACTTCCCAAATGCCTGCAGTAGTCAAGACTGGGCCAGACTGAAGGCAGGATCCCAGAACTCAGTCTGAATCTCCCATGGGAGTAGCAGAGACCCAAGTGTGAGCCATCACCTACTGTCTCCTAGGTTGTACATTAATAGAAAGCTGGAATTGGAAATAGACTGGGACTTGAACCCAAAGACTCTGAAATGGGATGTGGGTGTCCCAAGTGATATCTTAACCTATTATACCAAAGGCCTACACCCTCTTTCATTTATTTCCAACTTTACCTTGTTTCACATTGATAGTCTTCTTAAGGGATAGTTAATGAAATGACAAATATGGCTAATTCTTCCTTTCTAATCTTGCCTGATAGATTATTCTTGTATATAATGTAGTTTTTTCCTTTGAACATTGAGCAATACTGCTTATTTATATCAATAAATGTTTATTGGATCACATGTTGGGTTTAGCCTTGGGTTAGGAAGGATTAAAAGATATGTGAAGACACAGTCCATGCCTTAAAGAACTTCCCATCAAGCTGAGAAGATAAGGTAACTATCAGACTCACGGAGTACGCAGTCATAATGGATGGTAGATGATCAGGTAAGGTGTTTGTGAGGGAACTTTTGTTTTACTCCATATGTGAGTCAGCACAATGACTATGAGAAGACAGAGGAAGAAGACACTGGGCTGGGCCATCGGGAAGGGCTTTCAGGGAGATGTGGAGCTGAGCCACATGTCCTTGAAGGACACTAACGTGCAGTGTCGCGGAGGGGACACTGTTGGGTGGACAACGGTGAGGCAATGGAGGTGCCAAGGAGAGCAAGCATATCCTTTGAATAGAGTGGAGGATCCTGCAAGTAGTGGGAGGAGAGGGCTAGAAAGGATGGGTAGGACCTCATGGTGGGGGGCCTAGGGTTTCTTTTTTCCTCATAATTTGTTCAATATATATGCACATGAACATGTACTCATGTTCTCACACATGAGCTTTCTCTGTTGTGAGACACAGGAAAACATCTCCATTTCCTCCAGCATTTTCTTCAAGAGAAACTCAATTATAAAGGTTTTCAATTTTTATTACTGATGATTTTTTTTAAAGATTTTTATTTATTTATTTCAGAGATGGAGTCACAGACAGAGAGAGGGAGAGAGAGAGAAAGGTCTTCCATCCACTAGTTTACTCCCCAAATGTCCACAATGGCTGGAGCTGACTGATCCGAAGCCAGGAGTCAGAACCTTCTTCCTGGTCTCCCACATGGGTACAGGGGCCCAAGGACTTGGGCCACTTCTACTGCTTTCCCAAGCTATAGCAGAGAGCTGGATTGGAAGTGGAGCAGCCGGGACTCAAACCGGCGCACATATGGGATGCCGACACTGCAGGTGGCGGCTTTATCCACTACGTCACAGCACCCTGGGCCCCAGTGATGATTCTTCGGTCACTCATCTTAACCCTTAGATGTCAACCCTTAGCTTCCTTGTTTTTTATTGCCATTTTATTTTTCTTTTCAATTTATTTTTTATAAGAGAAAGAGAGATACGCACAAAGGAACACATGAACAGGGACTGAGTCCCATCTGCTGGTTCACTCCCTAGATGCCCACAACAGTTGCTGCCGGACCAGGGCCAAAGCCAGGAGCCTGGCACTCGACCCAGGTATTCCTCATGGGGCAGGGACCCAAGTACTTGAGCCATCACTGCAGCCTCCTAGGGTCTATGTTAGCAGGAAGCTGGAGGCAGCAACTGGAACCAAGAAACAAACCCAGGTACTTCAGTGTGGGATGTGATCATCTTAACTGCCTTAGCTGCTGGATTAATGCCTCCTGCCTTTATTGCTGCTTTAGATCACTTCAGTCTCTGTCATTGCCTGGTATTCCACTGGCATATTTAGCATTTTCATTATGAAGGTTAGTTTATAATTATAACCTGAAACAAAGATTTAGTAATCTATTAAGGGAATGCAGTGTTCCCACCTATGAGATAGCATATTATCTTCAGATTTAATTCCAGATTTAATTTATCCTTTAAAATCCCTTTCTTCCCTCCAGGCAAATTCAGGACTTGTAATTTCTTATTTCTATGCTGGACTCTCTCCAGTCTTCTGTAACATCTAATGAAGAGTGACGATCATGGTTAAAAAAAGAGAAGGATGTTACAAAGCATAGAGCTTGGTGACTGACTAGATATTCGGGGACAAACAACTTGTGACACTAGTTTTTGAAAGAATGGTAGCTTTCTTTGAGCTCATGTACAAGCTGATGCACTCTTTGATTAGCAAATAACCTCCATAGTTTTTTTTCTTCTAAAGATTCACATAGAGTTATATCACTAAACCACCATAATCATTCTGAATCCCTGGTATAGCCCAGGTTAAGGGGATGGAGTATCTCCAGTTTCATTTATCCTATCTTGTTTTGGTTTAAGTAAAAGAACAAGACCTTCATTAGGTTCTCTAAAGCCCTGACCTTCTCCCTAGAGTGTGTGACAGACCATGGTGGTTGTTGTTGTTGTTGTTATTATTATTATTATTATTATTTGACAGGCAGAGTTAGACAGTGAGAGAGAGAGAGAGAGAGGGAAAGGTCTTCCTTTTCCATTGGTTCACCCTCCAAATAGCTGCTACGGCTAGCGTGCTGCACTTGGTGCGCTACACCGATCCAAAGCCAGGAGCCAGGTGCTTCCTCCTGGTTGCCCATGTGGGTGCAGGGCCCAAGCACTTGGGCCATCCTCCACTGCCTTCCCGGGCCACAGCAGAGAGCTGGACTGGAAGAGGGGCAACCGGGACAGAATCCGGTGCCCCAACCGGGATTAGAACCCGGGGTGCCGGTGTGGCAGGCAGAGGATTAGCCTAGTGAGCCGCGGTGCCGGCGGTCATTATTTTTTAATTATCAGTTTTTTAAAAAGTTGAATATTACATGATGTTAAAATGTAAGTAATGAGTAGTATTTTGAAAAGTAAACTGTTGCCAGTGGCCTTGCAGTATTGGTAGGGTATATCCTGGCCAGCTCTCTGTCATCTATGAGATACTCATCATAGCAGGAATGAGCAAACTCAGGTAAATGGCACACCAGATTTCTCACACTTTCTCTCCAGCATACTTTGCTGGACAGGCTAGATAAATCATGTTGTTATTGATCACCAGGTGAAGGGCAGGGGTAAGCAGTGGCCATTCATTCTTGGGCTGGGAGAAGAGAGGAGTTCTGGATGCATGGCTAATTACCCAGCTTGATGACTTTCATTCTCACCAGCATTGAGGAGTATGCCAGCATCCAGGACACATGTGCTAGTCAGAATAAGCCATGGTCTTTGCGTAAAGGTTGCTTTAACACCTTTGACATTAATAATCCAAACTGAGGAAAGACTCATTGTTTCTCCTGGGGAATATACCAAAAGCAGAAGAACGCAGGATAGTGTCTTGGTTGGTGCTGCAGATGCGGACCTAGGAGATTTGGGGTCAGCCAGGCCTGCAGACTCGCAAGTGTATCTGTGTAGCAAACATTTCTGTTAGAATGTTACACAGGCGCCTCGAACTGTGTGTGTCCTAAAATGACCCATGTTGCTCTCATTTCCCACTCCTCTTGTTCTAAGACTTAACAAAGGTTAATGAAAGGCTGGGGGGACCTCAGAAGAAATAAAATGTAATCAGATGGGTTTTGTTGCAGTGAACTTCGCTTTGTGTCTAGTCCTGTCCTGCTGTTCCTTGTATTGTTAACATTGCATGGTCTTCTCTTTTTTTCCAGTTGAGGTCTACTCTTCCCTCCTGGGTGGTTTTCTGATCTCACCTTGGATAGCTTAAAGACTTACCCAGAATGGTCTCATTTTACTTGTACTCTCCTTTCTCCTATTCTATCCCAATCATACCCTTTCTCTCCTCCAAAACAAATCTGAAGATAACTTCATTAGATAGGACCTCTGCGTCTGCATCTTAAGCTTCAATGGATATTATATTTCTGAGTCCCTGAGCCTTCCTGAGGATAAATGCTGCTTTGGATATAAAGGGATTGGATTCTGGTGTAAGGGGCTAGCTGGAGTGTAGTGGCAGCTCTTTTGCTAATTGGTATGACTGTCCGAAGAACGTCTTCTACTCAAACAAAGTGGCATATTGTTAAAAAATACTAACCCTAGGGGCTGGTGCAGTGGCGTAGTAGGCTAAGCCTCCACCTGCAGTGCCAGCATCCTATATCAGTGCTGGTTCATGTCCCAGCTGCTCCTCTTCCAATTCAGCTCTCTGCTTGTGGTCCCAGAAAGAAGTGGAAGATGGCGCAAGTGCTTGGGCCCCTGCACCCATGTAGGAGACCTGAAAGAAGCTCCTGGCTCCTCGCTTTGGATTGCTCAGCTCTGGCTGCTGCAGCCATTGAGGGGTGAACCAACAGATGGGAGGCTTTTCTTTCTATCTCTCCCACTCTCTGTAACTCTACCTCTCAAATTAATTAATTAATTAAAAATTAATTTAAAAAGTACTAACCCTAAACCTAGACTGCTAGCTAGAGTTTCAAAACCTTCCGTGCTTATCAGCTGTATAACATAGGGCAAGTTTCTTAATCTCTCTCTGCCTTCATTTCTATTCTTTTCTTTTGCCATAAAGTGTTGGATAATAGTAATACCTTAATTTCTTATGAGAGTGAAGTAGGTTAAAACATCTAAAGTACTTTTTAGAACCATGTTTGGCAAGTACTAAACACTTGGTAAAAGTTTTACACATTTAATGAGAATTCGGTGTTTGGGATAGTGGTTAAGACACCGCTTGGGACACTCTCATCCCA